AAAATAATAGTACAAAGGTTTCATGTGGACAAATAAAATTTTAAGAGCTCAAAATTCAAGGATTACAAAAACTTGAGAAGCTTCTTAACGTGTTTTTGGCCGAAGAAATTCAAAAACTTCACCATCAATACACGAAACAAAATAGAAAAAGTAGAAGCCAATACATGAAACAAATCGGTGCTTCTAGACGCTGAAAGGGTGTGGCTTGGTCCTTCTGCTGATTAAGTGATGCATAGGTCCCACTGTTAATAGAGATGAAAACAAAGCTGAGTAACTGCGAATTTTGAATACTCGTATCCGTTTAAAAATTTACTATCCATATCTATCTCAAATCTATATAAATATCTTTTTAAATATTTGTATCAGAACCCGTTTAAAATTAAACCGCTATATAAATAGTTAGCATCAAACAGTTTTTTTCATTAAGTACTTCTAATTTAAACCGCTATATAAACAATTATCAATTAAAGACAATAGCTAACATCTAAGAACTAATAGAACAGCTAACAGCAACTAAAACAATTAATATTGCTGAACAGACTCTTAATTAGTGGGCAAAAGTTAAAGGCTTAACAGTCTTGATCAGTTTCTTTTATTTCTTTCCACGAGATAATGGCATAATGCTATAAATTCTAAAATTATCTCTCCCACCACTCTTTATATCCACACAAATATTAAAGGTTCTAATTGCTCATCTTTTGTAAGGCGTCTTCATCCACATATGATGATCTTATAGTACTATCTAAATCAAAGTTACTAATTCTTTCTCATAATCATTTCTGTCTCATAAAAATTTTGAAATCTTTTAATGAAAATCACAAAATTTAATTAATCGTTTGAGTATTTCCTTATTATCAAACTTATTATGCTAATTATATCCACATAGCTCATGAAATGAATAAAATCTCACTGCATTTAAATTAAATATTTAATAAATAGGACCCTCATAGAGTGCTAATCCTACCCTTTCTCTTAATCTTCACTAATAAAATCTTATTTTTCTTTGCTGTTCATCTTCACTAATAAAATCTTATTTTTCTTGCTGTTCAAAAAAAAAAAAAAAAAAAAAAAAAAAAAAAACTTCAAGGGTTTTGCCAAGTTATGTAACACTAAAACTAAACCATTATTGAATTTTAATTTAAATATTTATTTCAACTTTTTATCCATTTGATCATTTCATGTGAATTTAGGAATTCAACGAAATGTTTAAATCATTTGCTAAAGAATTTAATTTGCTAAAGAATTTAAGAAAATTTAGACATTTCATTGATTAAAAAAAATAATATCTCAATGTCAAATCAATAAAATTGAGAGTAAATTTAATCGTCCATTTTTTAATTTTATGGATGAACCTTTTTTTTAGTTCCTTTGATTATTCATATTCTTATTATACACTTTCACGGTCTTAAATCAAATATTTAAAAATCGAACTGAATCCATTTGTCTGATTTTTTATAAAATCTGTAATTTTATAATAAAAAAAAGTAACAATATAATTATAAATATATGATTTTTTTTTTTTTCAAAATCATAAGCATCACACACACACACACGCACACATGTATAATTCTCATTTTTATTATGTTATTCGTTCTTCAAACTATATATCAGATATTCAACATAGGATTGTACATGGGTTAAGTTTGATTGAGTTATTGATTTAAAGTACCAAATTTGTATGTATAAAAAATGATTTGTAACCCAACCCGATCCATTGAATAGGTAAATTTGTAGTTATATGATACTATTTCAACGATAATACTAAAAATATCTATAACCTAAACTATATATAAATGTGGAGAGGGAATAATGGATTTTCCGATAGTACACTTAATAAAATTTGAATATACTAAAATAACTTTAGTAATGACTAATTAAAAAATTATATTTTATTAGTTGATTGGACATAATTTATTAAAATTATTTTTTAAATAAATATATATAGATAATTGAGCATTTAAAAATTTTAAGTTTTATATTTTTTAATTTATTGTTCTTAATAAATTGATGATATGAGACCTGAAAATTTTTTATATTTTATTTTAATTTAATTTTTAAAATATTTGATTATATTTTATTATAATTTAAAAATATTTTAATTTAGGAGAGAGATAAAAAAAGAAAAATATATTATTTTTATAATATTTTTTTATTTAATGTTTATTAATTTGATTGGATATATTTTTTCCAAAATAAATTTTCAAATAGAATATATAAATTAAGCCTTTCAAAATTTTTTAAATTTTTACTTTTTAACAGTTTTCTTTTCTAATCAAATGAACATATATGTGTGAGATGAAATGAACAATTGAAAATTTTAATTTAAAATATATGTAATATTTTATTTTTATAATATATATATTATATGATATATATATATATATATATATTTGAAACATATTTATTAGTGATACTAAGATTATACATATATAGTTAATACGTTGATATTGTAGATTTTAGATTAATGACGATATAAATTTAAACTGAAATAATATGTGTAATACATATTATTATTTATCAATTAACATTATATTTACATTAATTTCATAATGAAATTTTTTTAACATTATAAAAATTATAAAAATCTAAATAATATAAAACAAAAACTATAATCAATATTTAATATTAAAAAATAAAAATGAGTATAAATAACAAATAAAGGTGAGCAACGATATAAAAATTAAACAAGTACGAATAATGAGTATGGTCAACATGCAATGTACGTCATAAAAAAGACTAAATATTGAGTTTCTGAAACGCCCCTACTAAGTTTATAAATTGACAAAAATATCATTAAGAATTTTAAGTTTATTGGTTGAAAAGCAAAGGTAATTTAGTTTTAATTAGTTATTATAATTTTCTATTTGAATCTAAATTTTTTTTTTTTTTGGTTAAAAACTCAGTACTCGGCATAGCCGACTAATCCGGATTCGGGTTCTACAGATGCCTATTATGTGGGTGACCCTCCCAATCCAATTATTTTCATTCACAACACTAAGGTTCGAACCCTAGACGTTACTTAAGGGATTCAGCCCTTCATCCCACTGGACTAATTGATAGGTGATTGAATCTAAATTCTATTATGAAGTTTAGTCTAATTCTATTAGAATTTTAATTTTATTGGTTGAAAATAATGGTAATTCAATTTTGATTAGTTGTACTAACTTTCTATTTAAATTAAAATTTTATTATATAATATATAAGGTATACATTAAATATATTATAATATCTTTAAGAATTTTAATGATTCAAAAAATAAATGTAATTGAAAACCAAATCTTTATAACCTTAGACATTCCACATTGGATAATTCCACTGACTTTGACAACCACGACTCACAAAATGGTGCCAAGCCAACTTGCCTTTCTTTCTTATTCTGATTCAGTTTTAGAGCTTTTGTTAGAATAACTTTTAAGTACGTAACAGTCACTTTTATAGACTTGTAATATAAAATCTATAATATATAATATATATAAAAGTAGTAACGAGAATATTGGGTTCCTAAAATATTTGTGTTAAATTTTTAGATTGACAAAAATATGATTGAGGACTTTATTTAATTGGTTGAAAAACAAAGGTAATTTAATTTTGATTGGTTATATTAATTTTCTATTTAAATATAAATTCTCTTATGAAGTTTAATCTAATTTTAAATAGGATATTGTCTAGTTTTGTCGCATTCTAATTTGGCTAAAAAATAAAATAAAATATTATTATGTAAGAAATTTTAATTTAATTGGTTAGCTAAATTTCCTATTATATAACTATTGCTATTTGAATAATTAATGTTATATATAAAAAATTATTATTTAAAAATTTTATATTAATCCTATTATACTACGGGGAAAAAAAAAACACTAACTAAATCCTATATTAATCCTATTGAATAAACTAATTAAAATTGAAATACTTTCCTCAATTGAATAGAGCACTACTTAGATTTTTTTTTTTTCCAATTTGAGAGCTATATTTGTTAAGATTATTTTATTAGTAGTAACTGGCACTACAAAAAACAAAAAAAACTTCAAATTGCGACCGATTTTTGCGACCGACACAAATCGGTCGCAATATTGATACCAATTTGCGACTGATTGGAAAACAGTAGCAGATTTTAGCGCGGAAAACTCGCGCGAGTTTGTCTTTCCGTTTGCGACCGAATTACTTCTAATTTGCGACCGATGTTGCGACCGATTTGAGACCAAATGTGTTTTTGTCGCAAAAAGGGGCGCGTAAAAAAAAGGATAAAATCTGAGACCGAAATGAGATAAAATTGCGACCGATATTTTGCGACCGACTGGTCGCAATATTGGCGGGTATTAAAACGACGTCGGACAATTAAAAATTGCGACCGATTTAAATGACTTTTGCGACCGATATGTCGGTCGCAAAATTTAGGGCTTTAAACGCGCCCTCTCCTTTTAAAAATATCATTTATTACTTCTTGAAATACACAAAACGATTTATATTTTGAGACAAAATAACAAATCAAAAACGACTTATATTTTGGGACAGAGGAAGTATTTAATAATGTGGTATTAGGTCTTAAAATTTATGGCTAAAATTTAAATTTGCCATTTTATGTACTATTACTTGAAGATCCTAAAATTATGTTTCTTTTCCCCGTAATCTTTTCATTTTTGGGTACAAAAATAGTGTTCTGGTAGTCCTTTGTTTTGTCTTTTTTGCTCCTAAGTCCTAAACATGTCATCATATGAATCGCTATGGTATTATAGGTCAAAATTCATTTCAATAAGCCCATTGGTTTTTTTCTTTTTCCATACTGGTATGCAGGAATACAATGGATTTTTGTAGATTTAATTAAAATAATCCCTTTACGTTGCTTATCTGCTTTGGTATTTTCTTGTCTCCATGGTTTGCAGATGAGAATGACATGTGGGCGTAGTTAATTTATACAAGAAAACTTCAACTAAGAGTAGAAGAACAAATGGCAAATTTCACTTTGTTTCCGTTTTTGAACGAAAGCAACAACAGCAAGAAAGTTCTTCAAGACAACAATAACATTACTTGGAGTCATTAATTAAACGACAGCAACCTTTACACTGCTTGTGTCTGTTCCCTCTACATGCTTTTCAATAGCCTCAAGAACAGCTTGAGTAGCATTTTTCACATCTAAAACAGTCTGTTCTTCAGCTACAACAATGGCTTCCATGACAAAATACAAATTACATGACACCTTTGCATGCAAGACTGTTAGACCCATTTCTTCAAATACTTCTAATATTGAGACTAGCTTATCTTCTCCCTTCTCGCAAATCACCTTTACGATAAATCCTTTTCCAGCTTTCTCTACTTTCACCTGTGCATACAAGACAGTGAAAGATGCAAATGTTATGCCAAGTAGAAAACATGAAAATAAATTAATGGGGTAAGAGAGTACAGACCTTGGGTAAGTGGAGGTGCAGCTTCACCATGCTTAAGCATTGCCTTTTGATTTTTTTTTTTTTTTTTTTTGTCTTCTGGTGGAATGGAACCAAGAGATATTAATCCTTTTTAAGTCATAGAGTTTAAAAGATTTTTACCTTTTACCGAGTGCATTTTTCTAAAATCGAACTGGTAGAATCTAATTCTTAAAGGTTTTTCATTATTTACATAATATCAATTAATTTCATTCTTTGCAATCCAACACTTCTCTCCCTAAAATTTATGTTTCTTTCCTTTGCTTTGAAGACCAAACAAACAAAAAGAAGAAGCTTAATTCATTAATTATGTCAACTACCTAGACTTGTAATCTTGAAAGAACAAGATATATTCAGAAAATACTTTTTTTTTTTTTTTGAAAGGGAAAAATCTTTTTTCTTTAATAAAAAAGTTAGAGAAAAAGGAGGATATGATCTTTGATTTGAAGAAGCTTTTGTAGAAACATATCAATTGTCAAGACATTGTCAATATTTTGCTTTATGTTATATCTATAATATTAGTATTTTATTTTATTTAGTTTTGGTAATAGAGTACAATTACAACAAATTTATTAAATTAGAGTAGAATAAAATTAGAATTGGGAAAGAAAAAGAAACATAAAAGGGAAGGGAAAGAAAAAGGTCAAAGATATGATTTTAAAAAGAGAATATCTCATATTTGTGAACCTCATAAAAAGCCTAAATTTGTGGTTTCAGAAAGTTTCAAGCTTTGCTTAGTGGGGAAATAATATAAAAATAAGAATTTAGTGGGGAAAAAAAGTAAAAATTTAATTAAAGGGGGTGAATTCAAAATTAATACTATAAACTAAGGTGCAAAAAACTATGAACTAGAATTTAAAATACTTTGAACTAAGGTGTAAAAAAGGAAGCATGTCTCTTCACTGCCCCTTACCCTAAATCCACTCCAAGGTATTACAACAAAAGTGCATTTGATTCGTAATTATTATTTTTTTAAAATGTAATTCATTTATAATATTATTAAGTATTAAAAATAATTAATTAGATCAGAAATAAAATTTACTATCATAATGAGTGGAAGGTTAGATGATCTTCTAACAAATCAAAAGAATTATTTGTAATCTTTTGATAATAAAACTAAAATTAAAAGAGACAATCCTATTTAGTTTATTTGTACTCATCAAACGTAACTTTTTTTTTTAAAGTTAATAATTCATTAATAATGAATATAAATTGAGTACATCATAATATTTCGATTGGAATAAGAAATACAAATATAGAAAATTGAAATATTCTATATGGAGATGTTTTCTATCTTGGCAGAAGAGGTTAATCTTACAGATAAAAACTGATCCATTCTTAAATATGACAACAAAAGAAACATTCCATAATATTGTCCCGAATATTATTTTTTTGAAAATTTGTTATAACTAACGTTCGTAGAAGAGTTTAATATACCAAACTTTAACGAGAAACATGCCGCACTACCAGACTCTATTGGTAAAAGAAACTTACCCGAACTTGAAGATCTGAAATCTTCAACCACAAGCAACCAACAATCCATTTTGTCTTTCGAATTATCTGAGAAATAAAAGATCCACATAAAAACTCCTCAACGATGAGGAATAATCCCATGAAAGGAAATAAATTAATAACTCCACTAAGAGAGTAGTAAAAAACACTCAAGATCCACAGATCTGAGAGACTAAATCCAAATTTTATTCCAAATTATTATAGGTTTGAAAATTATTAGAAAGAAAACTAAATAAAATAAAGAAAAACGATAAAGAAGGATGGAAAGAATGAAGTCTCTAAATTATAGTCAAATTAATACACGAGGATCTCAATTTATGAAAGCTAACAATGAAGTCTCTAAATTATAGTTTTATTAACACTTTGATCATTCTATTCAAAAAAAAAAGAGGCCAAAGTATTAAAGGAAATCATCAGGAAATGACTAAAGTGTTACTGGAAATCATTCGCTGTGTATTTTGTATTTAGTTTGACTATAATTTAGAAACCATTTCTCAATCAATTAATAGTTGAAAGAGGCTAGTTTAAACACACTACAAAAAAAACGCTCAATTGCGACCGATTTTTGCGACCGACATATAAGGGTCGCAATTTTGCGACCGATTTGCGACTTCTAGTACATCGGTCGCTAGTTTAGAAGTTCAGCCTTATCAATTTCTGTATGGTAATCAATGCAATGATATGGTAATCGATGCGAGTAGAGTACAATGTGATAGAGTACAATGAGTAGAGTAGAATGTCATTGGGATAATATGGAGGAATCACCAAACGTAGTAGCACAACAATTGTTTGACATGCTAAGTGCAGCTAACAGTGAACTGTGGCCTGGATACAAGAATCATTCAGTTCTATCTGTTGTGGCACGATTACTAAACATGAAAGCGGAGCACTATTTTTCAGAAAGGTGTTATGATGATTTTGTTCAGTTAGCAAAGGAAATGTTGTCTAAAGGCCATTCAAAGGTTGATATTTTTTATCAGACAAAAAAATTAGTTTGGGGATTGGGATTACCCGTTGAAAAGATTGATTGTTGTCGTAATAATTGTATGATATACTGGGGCGTTGACTCGGAATTCAGAGACTACAAGTTTTGTAATCTTTCTTCCAAGATATCAACGGCGCGGTCAAGGGACTGGTAGAGTACAGGGAGAAGCCTTTCCAAGAAGAATGTATTTATTTCCCTCTTGTTCCTCGCCTTCAAAGGTTAATATTGCATCAAAGGCGAACAGCTTGAACACATGAACATGGCATGCTTTGCATGAATAATGAGGGATGGTATATTGACCTCAATCCGTCAGACTCTGAAGCGTGGAAAAATTTTGATAACATTCATCCATCCATGTTTGCTGCTGAAATGAGAAACGTGAGATTGGGACTTTGTACTGATGGGTTTCAGCCGTTCGGCCAATCAGGACAACAATATTCATCATGGCCTGTCATTGTCACACCATATAATCTACCACCCTCAATGTGTATGAAAGATGAATACATATTTTTATGTGTTATTGTACCTGTCCTAATAATCCGAAACACAAAATTGATGTGTTTTTACAACCTTTGATTGCTGAACTTAATTATTTATGGGAATATGGGGTTGAAACGTTCGATATTTCGGCCAATCAGAATTTCATAATGCGAGCTGCTTTATGCGGGCTGCTTTTGCTTTGGACCATCAGTGATTTTCCTGCTTTTTGGAAAATGTTATCTGGGTGGTAGTAGCGGCTGGCAAATTTGGCCTTGTCCTCAACTGCATGGAAAACACTAATGCATTTACACTAAAGAATGGGAGGTAAACAATGTTGGTTTGATTGTTCATCGCAAATTATTACCGGAATCGTCTCACACCCCTTGAGGAGAAATCGACAATGCTTTAGAAAGAAACCACGAACTATTTTTGAACCCCTCCACCTGTGAAGTCAGGAGCAACAATAATTACAAGAAATTGAAGACTGGGGCTTATGAAAGTTACAGAGGTTGGTGCAGATCGAGGTAAATACAAGAAACTTGGCAGGAATAGGGGTGAAAGCGAAAGCATTTTTCTGGGATTTTGCCATACTGGAGTTCACTTCTTATCCGTCATACACCTTGAAATGTCAATGCCACATAGAAAAAATGTGTTTGAAAATCTGTTCAACACTGTCATGAACATTGAAAGGGAAACCAAGGAACAATGCAAAAGCGAGAGCAGAACCTGAAGGAATTTGTCGTCGCCAAAGACTCGAGCAAATCTGTACTACTGGTAGTTTTCCGAAGGGCATGTTATTGGTTATGAATAATCCCCAAAGGCAATTATTGTGCGAATGTTACCGATCATTAAGATTTAGATGGCTACCTGTTCAATTGGGTAGATGTGTTGGACATGAGGAAGTACAGACCTGTTTGGCATGAAAGCCATGACTGTCAATGTTTTTCCAATGCAAAGAATTGATCCCTGTGGCATTGCGGAAATTATTACCAGGAAAAATTTGGGAAGCAATGACAGAATTGAGTCTCCTTTTTTCCAAGGAATTGACGATGACTGTTATCCCGCATGCGATGATATGGACCATTAGCGCGAGAAATCCCATAGTGAATGTGCAAGTTGGAGCGAATTTTTCCACCCGGCTTCTTTGATTCTATGGAACATCTGCCGATTCATTTGCCCTATGAATGTCATTTAGCAGGACAGGTACAATATCGATGGATGTATCCATTTAAGAGGTGACTCAATAACATCTCATTCTAATGATTACATCATTTATTTGAACTTATACTTACATATTGGCATTGTACAATGACAGACACCTGCAAAAAATTTAAAAAAATGTGCGCAATAAGGCAAAGGTCGAGGGATCCATTTGCAATGCATATTTGGTGGAAGAAGCTTCCACATTCTGTTCACACTACTTTGACACTACTTGACCAACATGTTTTTCACCAAGCATCGGAGAGGCCCACGTAACGATTGACAGAGGAAGATCGTGTTCAATCTGAGTTTGAAGGTAAATCTAAAAATTTTCACCTACCCTGGGGCGTACGTTGGTAAATCAAAAAAAGACCGATTGACTGATGCGAGGTACAAGCGGCTCAAACCTATAATTTTATTGTTAATTTGCGAAGACACACAACCATATGTACAGTAGTTATAATAATTAAACATTCTACAACTTGAAACGTGGGCCGTTGTTAAATGATACTCATACTTATGATAATTTGGTTCGTTCATAAACAGGAAATATATCAATCTTTTGCGGCTTCAAAATCCTAATTTGACTGATACTACAGTTGATGCAAAACTGGACTTCGAATGTGCAGAATAGTTCAAATATTATGTAGGTTAACTTTCAATGTACACAACACGGAATGTACATTTATTAAATCTGACTCATGTCATTACTATTTCCCATAGGCTCGAAGCTCGAGAAGCGATATTCGTAATAGATTTATTACGGATCTGGCAAAGGGCCCATTACCGGTTGCTAATGCCTACTCTGGCTACTTTGTAAACGGTTACAAGTTTCACACTGAGGGTTATGGGAG